TGTGAGATCAGCATTAAAATCACCCAAAACATATATGCTGTAAGTATCGTTGTCTTGAATAAATGCATTAATAAAAGCCAGCCTACTAAGGTATTCTTGCTCATTTTGACAAGATTCATAGGGAGTATAAATATTAAGAATGATAAAACTACTATTACTCTGTGTATATTGTATACCAATACACCAGTCTACATTCAGTCTAATGGGCTTTATCTTTTAAATGACTTGATAAATGTTGTGTTTTCCATTAAGCTCTGCGTTTTGGGGTGCGTTTCGTTCAGCTCTGGTTTGAATCACTGCTCTTAATCTATGGCTTCACTTCCTTATCAGGACTTTTGATTTTCCCGCTTCAACAGACAAGCCGTTGATCACGTGCACAGATTGGCCCAATTAGCGCTGCCCACACGCCGGCGCTGGCTTTATAAGAGTGGTGACGGCACTGAAGAAAGGAAGCCGATAGTTACTAAACATGGCTAGAACGAAGCAGACAGCACGTAAATCCACCGGAGGAAAGGCTCCCAGAAAGCAGCTAGCTACCAAGGCTGCCCGTAAGAGTGCCCCGGCCACCGGTGGCGTGAAGAAGCCTCACCGTTACAGGCCCGGTACCGTGGCTCTGAGGGAGATCCGCCGTTATCAAAAATCTACTGAGTTGCTGATCCGCAAGCTGCCCTTCCAGCGCCTGGTCCGGGAGATCGCTCAGGACTTTAAAACCGACCTGCGCTTCCAGAGCTCTGCCGTTATGGCTTTGCAGGAGGCAAGCGAGGCTTACCTGGTCGGTTTATTCGAGGACACAAACCTGTGCGCCATTCACGCGAAGAGGGTCACTATCATGCCCAAAGATATCCAGTTAGCCCGCCGCATCCGTGGAGAGAGGGCTTAAGCTGATCTGAGACCACTTTATACACAACAACGGCTCTTTTAAGAGCCACGCAAGTACATCTGAAGAGCTAATGTCACATTTCACAAGTCAATAGTCACTGATGAAAATTTTAAATTCTGTTACAAACTGTTCGTAAGAGAGCACGGGAAAATGCTTTCTGCTGCAAATGGTTATTAGTTTAAAGTATAGGGGTTATACTTTAACTACGAACTTTTTAGTTACTCTGCCATATTTTTCTTACATTTGGCTCTGGTGAACGAACATTTAACATACAATTGCGTTGTACTGTAAATAACTAAATTTTGCTATGTTAAATTACAGTAAACATTTATTTTAATTAAACCCAGAATGGTCATTTCAGATTTTGAAGGGTTCCATCCTCACAGTAAAACACTTCTTTGTGATAGGAGACTGAAAAAATTAAATTAGAAACATCAAAACTTTGTATGTCATTTTAGACAATGTTTCACAGGAGATGAAAAACTCACTGTGTCCGTGAAGTTGTATTTTTTTTAACTTGCTTTTCTGATATCACTAAATAGAAAATGTTCAGCACAAACACAGCGCAGCTCTGTGGAGCTGATTAGAAGCCATTTCTAGAGACTACATCACAGCGCGTTATGGCATCCTCCATTTTGTTTTTAAAAAGTTATGTCCTTAGACAACTAATCAGTAGAATGTTAGGTTTTACAGGGAAATGGAGTTTCATTGAGAAACGAACAAGACAGTCATTTTAAGGTTAGGAAAGGTGGATTTTGGAAAGCTAGGTGAAGTCATTTACATTGTTAACTTCACATTAGTGGCGCCGCCATTTTGGTTTGGGGCACGAAGCCAGCCCGACGAGTTACTTACAACCACAACGGCCGTTTCCTTAACAAGCCCATAAAACGTATGTAGAATCACGTTACAAGGTTTAAGAGTCTCATTATCACTCTTAACAGCTTCACAAAGTTCTGTGTACCCAAGCCACTAACTGTAAAGTTGGAACACTTATTTCTTAAGACGAGTTGTGTGGCTCTTAAAAGAGCCGTTGAGTTGGAATCAAGACAGTAGAGTTAACCTCCGAAACCGTATAGAGTACGGCCCTGCCTTTTAAGAGCATACACCACATCCATTGCGGTCACAGTCTTTCTCTTGGCGTGCTCAGTGTAGGTGACTGCGTCACGGATCACATTCTCCAAGAACACCTTTAGTACACCGCGGGTCTCCTCGTAAATCAGGCCGGAGATACGCTTCACACCACCGCGACGGGCCAAGCGGCGAATAGCGGGCTTAGTAATGCCTTGGATGTTATCACGAAGAACTTTACGATGACGCTTAGCGCCTCCTTTTCCGAGTCCCTTTCCTCCTTTGCCGCGTCCACTCATTTTGTCAGCTTAAGTGATACTGACGAGAAGTCATCGCACGGGTGCGACTTTAAGTCAGTACAACGGACGTATTTGGAAACCCCCAGCGCCAACGTGATTTGAGGACGTAATAGGAAACAGGGACCTGCCCCTTCGAGTATGGTTGTTCTCGTTGTGTCTGAAGATGCACTGTAACATGAATTAAAACATTTAAAACAGTTTTTAACATCAGCGACATATTTACAAATAATCACATTTGAATCAAAGAGGTACATGCTTTTCAATTTTAACAATTTATTGGCATTTAAACGTCTTGATGCATGCTCAATCATCCAGGTAAGTAAATCTCCAAAAGTTCATTCTGTTTATCTGGACATAGCGTTTTCCAGATGAACAGAATCAACTTTTGGAGATTATTGGCGTTTAATTTTATTTAAACGTTTAATTTTATTTTGATGGTTATCTGGTGATGTTGGACTAGAAATATTTACTCCAATTATTTTCTATTCTATCACAGACTACTAGCAACCATCGTGATGCCCCGGCCAACTATCGGCTCCTTTCGCCAACCTACACAGCTATGCAATCTCCCCAGCAAATAGTCTGTGTTCAGTGCCTTCTCTCACGACAGTATGCTTTGAAACAATCACAATTTCATTGTAATCTTAAATCTTAATCTTAAAACACTAATTTATGTTGCTGAATATCATATTTTGCTTTTTTTAGATTCCAGAGACTCTGAGGCAAGTTCTTAAAATGTTGTACTTTGACATTTTACATAGGATTTCATTTATGCTTTTTCCCTGCTGAAGACAATTGACAAGAGGTTATTCATATTTAACCTCTAATTTGGTCTTTTTTCTCCTTTTTGTGTTTGTTTGGGTCCTAGATGGCTTGACTCAGCAGGTGGGGGTAAACACTGTTACTGAGTTTCTCTATGCCCAAGCAGTGTAGAAATGTCTCCGCTACGCTACAGGATTGGGGCACAAGAGACCGAACCACATGTTCACACTTTTCTGTACACTTTATTGAGGCTGTTGACTTTTCTGCTACAGCCTACTCACATCAACTTCAACAACATGACCTAGTTCATTCTGTTTTAAGCCAGGGAGATGTAATTGGGAAAACAGGCTCACTGCAGCCACTAAGAGTGAATAGTATTAAACTCTCACTAAATTATATATTTTTCATCTCTGTTCACAAGTTTCTGTATTTCTTTTTTTACAATACTAGGACTGAATTTTATTTTTCAATGTCTGGTAATGTTTACATTCTCTTTGACCTGTTGCTTTATTGAAGAAGTGCTGCAGCCTAGTGAAGCAGTCTATTGTCAAAGGTCATCAATAGTTGTTTGAAATGAAAATGGTTTGTTTAAAACAAAAAATACTGAAGGATTCCTTGTGATTGAGTTTATTTTCTAAATAAAGTAGCAGCTAGGCTTTTCTGTCATTGTTTTGTTTAGATGGGGTGTGAAAATATTTCTTCCTGCCATGTGGGCAATGATGTAAAAAGTTCGAGAACCACTGGTTTACAGCATCCTGCCATGCGATTGCATTCGAGTTTGCAACACAGATTCAGCAAAGAAGTCACTTCTGTCTTTACTCTATTTTCACTTTTGGGGCACATTTCACAACTTCCACATCCTCAGTGAGTTTGTTTTTCAGTTGCACAAATAACTAAGAGACAGCAGATTGTTGTCCACACAAAGGAAGAGTCTGTTAGTACAATAAAGTCACAGCAGCCATATTATTGGTCAGATAATGTCATTAAAAATGCTCCAAAAGATTCCAACAGCATGAACATGGTCCAGAGGTCCAGTTCAGGGACTCCAGTTAGCTGAGGTGAAGCCTAGCAAACAGTTAGCAGCCACAGCCACCTGTGTCGCCATCCACCTGTCAGTCAAAGAGGCCACGTCTATGGGCAGAAATCTGTGCCATTAGAAACTGAATTTGAATAAGTTAAATTTGAA